GTTTAGGGTTTGGGCTTTAGGGTGTAAGGCTTCCCTGGTTAGAATCCTCACGGTAGCGCCCCAAATATGCACAGACCAATGTTCTTGATGAGCGCCACCAGACCGCAAAACGCTTGACGTAAATCCCACGTCGATGCAACTCCGTATAACAGAAGTTCTGGCTTAGGGGTGTTTACCTTCGGGACTTTCAGGGTTGAGGCGTTTTGGGGAGCTTTAGGCAGTAGTAGTGGCTTGAGAACTTTACAGTTTGGGGCTTTTGAGGTGCCTACGTTGTGTTGAGGGCCCGTTTTCGTCCTGAAGCGTTAAGGTTTAGGCTCATGTAGGCTTTCGGGACTACCCCGCGGGTAAAGCCAACAGAGGAGCCACTTACGAGCATCCATCGGGGGCCCCGATAACAAAAGCCAACAACCAAAGGCAACCTGAGAAGCCTCGTCAAACCCCTAAACCCTAANNCCCTAACCCCTAACCCTAAACCCTCAACCTTAAACCCTAAACCCTAAACCCTGAACCCCTAAACAGCCCAGCCAACTCGAGAGAACACCCAAAGTCAAGCTAAACCAAACATGGCTTTTCGGGTTTAGGCTCTAGGGTTCTGAAAGTTCGGGAAGTCTCACAAGCGCTACAAAGCTCGCAACAATTCTGAGATTCAATAGAAAAAGGCTGCGCCAGAGGAGGACGGAATTGAGCTGAAGACACGGCCCAGGGTGTACTGAAACCGTGACGGTGACGCTGCAAGTTTTTGTGCCGGATATACGGCTTTGACATCACGGTTGCTCCGCTCCTGTCTCACCAGAACTAACGCGCTCCTGAAATTCACCCTTTGCGAGCGAGACATGGACCGCCTCTGGGGTTTGAGCATCTGTTCTGTCGAAATAGCAGCAAGAGATACTGCGGCAAGGGCGTATGACGTCACTGTCGTGCCAATATCGCTGAACAAGTGCTGGCACAGTTTCGAGTTCGCTCGCTGGAGCGAATCTTGTAGCCGCACACTGGCAGAAGCACATTCGGGCTCCTTGCAACACCCAACATCAAGGAGCTTTCGCCCAACCTTGCAGAACGACCGAACGACCCTGGGCACCGTCAGAGTGAGGCCAAATACAGTAATACAGGAACCCTCCCGCCATGAAGCCTGACTGATCCTGACTGACAGGTATGTTCACAATGATCGATATGAAGAAGGCGCAAAACATCTCAGCATCCTTCTGAAAACCCCTGCAGTTTCAAGTCAAGGCGCCGGGCCACACTTCCTTGAGTTCGCTAGGAATTTCGGTGCGTTGTGTGTGCTCACGTAGAGCTCATCTTCCACCTAGGTCCTAGCTGTCTCGGAAATCCAATACCCCCGAAGCCAAAACGCTGAAACTGAAACTAGAACCCTATAACCTACACCCTAAACCCTAAAACTTGAACCCTAAAGCTTAAAGCATTACTAGTCCGTCTTACTTTCCGACTTCTGACTCCCCAACTTCGGCGAGGCCACCGAGTGGGCGAAGCCTTGGAAGGATGCGTCGCTGAGAGCTTCAAGTGCTTGGGAGATTCGGGGAGCGCCATGGTTATAATGAATGTAGGGGCCTCAATAATTAGAATAGGGTTTTGGGGCATAGTATACTATAGTTATAAAAAGGAACCCCCAAAATAGTATTGGTATTTATTTGGGCTCCTATATTCGGTGAGGCGCATTGAGGGGCCCCCACAGTTTTAGAGCTTGGGGGCTGGGATTCGGGTTAAAGGGCTTGAGGGGCTTCGAGGGTGTTGCGAATGAAGGTTCGATGATGAGGGTTTGGGATGTGGTTTCTGCTGTGTTGACCTTCTTGCGGCTTACACTTCAAAGCGTTGGGCTCTGATCTCTCGTGGCTTGCGAGGTTTTTGGCTGAAGCAACAGAGCTGATTTTAAAACTGGGCGACCAGAGGCCGCGCATCATCAGCATCAGCCAGCCTCTGTGTAAACTTGGGCCACCAGAGGCCGCGCATCATCAGCATCAGCCAGCCTCTGCGTGAACCTGGGCCACCAGGGGCCGCGCATCATCAGCATCAGCCAGCCTCTGTGTAAACCTGAGCCACCAGCGGCCGCGCATAACCTGGGCCAGCAGTGGCCGCGGCCTCTGTGTAAACTAAGGCCGCGCGTCATCAGCATCAGCCGGCCTCTGTGTAAACCTGAACCACCAGAGGCCGCACATCATCAGCATCAGCCAGCCTCTGCGTAAACTTGGGCCACCAGAGGCCGCGCATCATCAGCATCAGCCAGCCTCTGCGTAAACTTGGGCCACCAGAGGCCGCGCATCATCAGCATCAGCCGGCCTCTGTGTAAACCTGGGCCACCCGAGGCCGTGCATCATCAGCATCAGCCGGCTTCTGTGTAAACCTAGGATTCACAAAGGCGGCGCATCATCAGCATCAGCCAGCCTCTG